GTTATAGGCAGACGGAACAAATTATTACAATTGTAGCATTATTAGTAGTTATATCCCATTTTAGTCAAACAAAATATTAAAAAAAAATTTAATTTAAAATTCAAACGAATTATTAAAGATTCTTATAATTTTTTACTTTGACTTGTAAAAAAATTGTATTTTCAAAAAAAAATATTTGCAAAAACAATTTTTCGAAGAAAATAATTTCTTTTAATACTAAAATTGATTTTCCTTTATAAACAAGACACTGATTAAGTGTATATTTGTCTAATAAGTTAATTATGAGATAGCCAAGTTTAGTGGGAAATGTTTTCAATACCACAGAGTCCACGACGTTGTACGTTAATGATTACAATTGCTATAGACAGAGAGCCACAGGACTGAATAATGTAGGGGTTTCGATTTAATTTACTGCTAGAATGGCGTTCGATTCTGTTTGCAGAAAAGTAATTACAGTATTGCGCTTTAGCACTGACAAATTTCTATCTCGAAATCTATATGAAAAAGTAAAATATACTCTCAATTCATATGAATTGTAAAATCAAACAATTTCATTTTTTTTTTTTTACATTTACGAAATATGTAAAATATAGAATTTGACATGATATTAAATTATAATATTTCGATATATATATATATAAAAATTTGTAGATTACTGCAGACAATTCCTTTTATATATTGCCATTGGAATCTAATTGAAACCACGAAATTCGTCCTTGGCTAATTGCTAAAGTGATCAATGAATAAATTATAATTTGGAGAACTTGAATCATTGTGCTCTGATACATACTAAAAAGTATTTTCTATTTTTAGTCAAATCATATATTGTTGATGTTTCAATTTAATTTGACTTTAATGTTTGCATTACAATTTACTTTGTAGAAAAATAAATTATTCATTTACACTTTTTTTTAAAAGTCTTCACTAATAATCAAAAATTAAATGTTTAGTTATTACTGTAAATAAAATTAAAAATTTAAATTTAATTAAAACAAAACTGTTAAATAAAATATTTTGTTTACTTTAGTATGAAAATACAAGATATTTTCCATCAGTAAACAATAAATAAGTAAACAGTTTTTTAATAATTATTTTTTTTTTAAATTATTTTATATATAAAAAATGTATAAAATATTTCTGTATAAAAGTTTTAACTCTTTCATTACTTTTTTTTTTTTTGTTTATGTCTATCCTGAAATATAGTTTTTCGCTTATAGTAATTCTTTTACTGACAAGAAAATAGGTATTAGGTATCACTTCTGCAAAGACACGAAAAGCAAAAAAATAAGGATGTTAAAGACGTAAAAAAAATAAGACTCTGAGCCACTGAAACGAGAACTGACTTAGAAAAAAGTTGTGTCTGCTACATGACGATAAGGCCTTGTTAGTTTTTTAACTCACCGAGTACTTTTTTACGATATGAGATAAAAAAAACCCTTCCTTCGTCTATTTCGTTCTGTACACATTATAAATAATTAAATATTTATATTATACATAAAATGTTTGATTTTTTTTTATAATTAATTAATTTTCATTTTTTAGACATCCTTGAAATTTATTTTCACAAATTAATAATTATTATTTGGAAATATTTCTTATTAAAATTTTTTAATTATGAATTAATTTCAATTATAAATTTATTAAAATATAAATTAATATTGCTTATAAAATTGAAATATAAATTAATTTTCCTTATATATATTAATTACAATGATAAATTAATTTTAATTATAAAAATAGATCATTAAAATCATATTTTTTTCAGTCAACTATTTTTTAATAAACAGAACTGGAGCTTAAAAAATTGGTTTCCAGATTTTAAGAATAAAATTTTTCTTTAACAAAAAAAGAAAATAATCTTTAATCATTTAGATTAAAATAAATTACAATTGAAAATCCAATGAAATATTTAACAATGAGAAATAATATAATATTTGAAAATGGATATACACATACCTTAATTAAATTTATCAACTAGATTATATATAATATTCGGTTTGAAAATAAATTTCAAGCACAAATTAAATTACATTCATACATTTATTTAACATCACTTTTAATAAATTTTCATTATATATGAACATATAAATATTATTTCCTTATCATGAACTGAATTTTTTTTTTCATTTTCGTATCATTGCAAGTTAAAAACCGTTATATTGACATGTTATTAAAAGTTTCACAATTCGGAAATTAAATTTCATTACTTTTACCTGAAATATATTTCCGGTTCTTCATTTTCTATTTTTACAGAAATATATATCAAAACAATTATTGAATTCGGTCAAGTGAATTTTCCACGTCATGTTTTTATAAATTGTTCGTATTTTGGGAGAATTGAAAATTTTTTTTTTTTGACATCTAAAAACATTTTCTAATACTATATAATAAAGAAGATAAATGAGGCAAAAAATTTAGAAAAAATAATTTAAAAATAAAAGTTTTTCTTAATAATTTTTTTTTTTATTATTATTACTACTGCGCGAAATTCAGGCGATATTCACATAGTGTGACCTCTATTTTCATCGTCGGCCAAAATCAAAGCTACAAAAACCCATGATATATTTCTCTGCCGCAAAGCCGATTCCACGAAATCATATAACCCGTCTATCTATTTGTGTTCGAATATATATATATATATGTATAAGTTTTCATATAGAAATCTAGTATATGTATATATTGTATAAATGCAAAAATCCATACACGTTGACTGCGTCACTGTCCTAATAATAAACGCTGGTATCTACAATTTTTATAAAAAAAAAAAAAAATTCGTATTTGTTTGCTACGAACTGAATATTAAAAAAATAAAAAAGCAAAAGAACAAAATCTGAAAAATAATGACCAAAACTTTCTTTTAACTAAATTGCAGGAATTATAAATCCTTGTTTAAAAAAACAGTCCAATAAATTTAATTTAAAATACAAAATTGTCTAACCAAAACTGTCTTCTACTACTGATATTAAAATTACAAGAATTTAAAACATGGGAGTCACTTTTTACTGAAACTTTAGTAAAAAAAAATTTCAAATTACCAAATCAAATAGTAATATTTTACTAAAAATTAGTAAAAATTCTTACTAATGTGAATTAGTAGCTCACTTTTTACTAATTTTTTAGAGAGAAGAAAATAAGGCATTTTAATTTTCGTTTTGTCTGACATGAAATGACTGCTACTACTGTATTTAAATTTAATTATAAAAGCAGTCTGACCGAAAATTACTTACACTACTTAAAACAAAACTTCCATTTTAAAAAATCATGTTATTATGAATTAGTTAAATTTTACTAATTGTTAGTAAAAGTTACTAATAATTAGTAAAATTTAACTAATTATAAAGCAAAAAGTCAGTCACTAATTTAAATTAGTAAACATTTTTACTAATTCAAATTTAGAAAGTATATTTTTATTATATATTCTCTTAAATAAATAAATAATTACAAGAATTTGCGATAGGTAGAAATAATAAAAATTGGTCTGACTTTTACTAACTTTTACTACTTAGATCAAAATTACTAGAATTCAAAAAAATTTTGTTTCTTACTGAAACTATTTTTTACGATTGATTACAATGATAATTGATTACAATGATTAATTAATAGTTACAATAATTCTAAAAAAATAAATATCTGACTGAAACTGTCTCTTACTACTCTGTCTGACTAAAAATATATTTTACCACTTACACTAAAAAACAAAGAAACAGAATGAAATTACAATAAACTTGAAAATTGAAATATATAACAACAAATGAAATTCAAAGTCAATTTGGAAAGTATATATATATGTTCACTATATACGGTTGTCAAAAGGTAATAGTAAATTCATTAGTTACATTTGTAAAACGATGTCACCAATCTTTACAGACTCGTGAATGTTAGTTAATAGCTTCATAAAACAATTTGCTGTGAAATGGTCACATTATCGCAGTAAAACGGTTAATATTGCAAGCAATAACTAATGTCACTGGTATTATGGGAGGAAATACTGCGACGCGGGACAATTTATAATACGGGTACCTCTTTGGAAAAGAGAAGACTAGAAATATATATATATATATATATAGTTAGTATTTATGTTTGTGCATTTAAATGCACTTTAATTCTCTTTGTTCATTATATTTATTATATACTTTCTCACAGTTTATTCTTACATTGTTTCTAAATTCGTATTAACGAAAAACATGTTTATTTTTAACAAGATTTCTATTTATTATTAATTTAACTTGCATATGCATATATATTACGTAGTATTATAATACTATTTATATTATATATTATAATATATAGAATTATATATTATGTACTACAATAAAAAAATATAATTTTTTTTTAATTAATAATTATTGATAATTATTTATATTTTTTTTTATTGTAAGACATAAATATAATATGTAATATAATATTCAGTATTATATAGTACTATATATATAATATATTATAGAAAAAAATAATTTATTAAAATAAATTATAATAAATTAAAATTAAATTAAATTAAAATAAATTATTTATGAATAAAAAATGTTTCACACATAAATTATATTTTATTATAAAAAAAATTGTTAATAATAAATAGTTATGGAATATTGTTTCAAAAACCAACTCTTAACGCCATCTGTTGGGACATATATTGCATTAGACTGTAATTTCTGTTTTATCGACAAAATTTAAAATAAATTTAATTTTAATTAAAAAAAATAAAATAATTAATAAATTAATGATAAATTATAAACAAATATAATTGTGCCTATGGCATTTTATTTGTTTATAATTTTTTTTTTTAATTTACTACTTTAGCGCCAATAAAATTTGAATTTCATCCCTCAAAAAAAGAAAAGAACGTTTTTAATTGGAATTTCCAAAAATGTGAATTTTTTTAACTATTGTTATTAATTTTTTATTAAGTATTTCATTTGTTTATTTTAAAGAAAAAAAATTTAATGAAAAAATGTGGTTTTCTCAAATTGGTAGCCATGAGTGTGTGAGTTTTGATGGCGTTACCATGGAAACGGAGTCATTGTTAACAACGTAAACAAACAGAAATTTCTATTCACAAGCAGGTTTTCGTTGTCATTCGGATTTTTATTTTTTAAAATTAATTTTTCGTGTAATTTTAGTGCAAGTGGTTTTTTTTTTATTTACATCTTTAGAACAAAATATAAAAAAAGGTAAAATTTTATTTTATTAAATTATTTTATTTTCATTTAATCTTTTATTCTATTGTTTTGATAATAAATTTTGTTTTAAATTCTATTGTTATAATTGAACCTTCACTTAAAAAATACAATAATAATAAATAATTTGAAAATTAATTGAAAAAAATTAATTAATAAAGTTAATAAAAATTTAATTTTATAATTTAAAAATATATTTTATGAATATTTACATTTTTATTTAGTATTAATTAATTTTATTCTTCTTTAATAAATAAATAAAAAATTTATTTATTTATTTTAGAATAAGAATGTTGCAAAAATATGGCAGAATTACACATAATTGGGCAAATAGCCTCAGCAAAAGAATTTGAACAACTACGACTTATGTGCAAATGGAGTTTTCACGCTGGTATTTTATTTTGTTAATATTTATAAATATATTTTAAATTTTCTTACATTTTTATATAAAATGAAAAAATAAAATTTTTTCCATGAAAATTAATTTTAAAAAAAATAAATTAGGAATGGGATGGAAAATTTTGAACGGTAATCACGAGGGTCAAACACAAGAATGTTGTGATTTTTATACAAACGAACCAATTTGGGATCATCCATTAGATTTACATTACGGAACAACATCTTTACAAGGATCACCAAAATTATTGTTACAATTATTTTGCCGTGATAATTACAATAGAATTATATTTCTCGCTTATGGGGTTTGTGTTGTTCCATTAACTCCTGGATTTCATGAACTTGAATGTCACACTTGGAAGCCAATTGGTAATTTTTTTTTTAACAAATAATAATTAACAGAAATTTTTTTTAAATTATCAGATATTAATAATTAAAAAAAAATTAAATTAAAAAACTTACAGGTAATTGGCAGGATAGACTAAAGGACAAATTTCTTGGTTTAACATTACAATTAAAAACTCCAAGTATCCTTGTTAATACACAGGATAGATTTGAATTATTAACAGAAAGTATGGGAGTAGTGAAAATAAATCTTCATATTTTGAGTAGAAATTTCGAAAAATTTGGTTGTGATCTTTGAATAAAATTTTTTTTATTAAAAAAAACCGATTTTTTGTAAAAATGGCATTATCAGCCTTGGGATATTTTTGTTTAATAACATTTTGCATTGTTAACAACAATTGCATTGATATTTCTTCATTAGAAGACATCACTGAGGCAACATGTGTCGAAAATTGTGAAAATATAACTGAAATATCAACATCTGAATTTTATACTCAAACTAATGAATTCACAAAATCCAATTCAAATAATAATAATGATGATGATTATTCTGAAGACACAACAGAAAATTATAATATTCTTCTTCTAACAAAAAAACCACAAAAATCACTTATTCCAATTGTACCACGAAAACCAAATAATACTGAGGCAAATAATAATAATCAACCCATGGAAAAAAAACCTATTAAGATCGAAAAAACAAAATCCGATATTTGTGAATGTGATTATCAGGTAGAAAATTATTTTCTCTAATTTACCTCTAATGGTAAAAATAATTTCCCTTTTTTTGGAAAAAAAAATGTTAATGAAATTCTTTTATTCACATACAGGTATCATCTTGTGACATAAACTGTTGTTGTGATTTAGATTGTACAGATTTGCAGATTGAAACTTTTTCCTATTGTTCCAACGTCCATGAAAAACTTTATGACAACAGATATTGTTACAGAAAAAACTTTTTATTTCACAACACTTCAAAATTTATTCTTGAAAGGGTGGCTGAGAATTTATTTTGCATAGTTTATGACAATTTACCTCCTGTTTATACAATAAACAACAATGTCGTAAGTTTCACAAAAAAAATATTTAAAAAATTTTTTAAAAATTCTAAAAATTATTGAATTAATTTTGCTAATTTTATAATATATTTAATTTAATAATTGAATTAAGAAAATGTAAATTTAAAAAAAAAAAGAAAAATGAAACGAATTTTATAGAGCATTCAAAGTGAGAAGGACTTGGATAAAGCGATAGGGAAAATAGATCCGTACAATTTTAAATGGGATTTAGAAGTAACATGGATGGATCCGAAATTTCAAACAAAGGAACCTTATCGTCATGGCGATACAATTTGGAAACTTGATAAAACTTTGATAGAACCTCTAGGTACATATATATATATATATATTGGAAAATTGACGCACTTTAAAAAAAGGGGCGGAGGGAAATTGAAAAACTTTTAAACATTGTTTTAACAGAATTATTTTTTTTTCCTGTATAGAATTATTGCAAACTGGCTTCACGGGACTTTGTAGTTTTGTAAAATCCATCAAGTTTCTTGAAAATTGGAAAGGCTCGTGTCTTCAAATGAATTTATCGAATAATAATTCTTATCTATTTCCGGAGAAATATAATAATTTTTCTATTATAAAATCACCACATTTATTGGATTTAAATAAATTCAATCGTTATCAGGTAATTTTTGTTTCTTAATTACAATTTCTAATTTAATAATTAATAATTAATAATTAATAATTTAAAAATTTTATCCCTAGAAATGTACAACAATGTTGTGTGCTCCAATAGAATCCAACTACTGTCACGAATCGTGGACAAATTGTACAAAAAATAGAACAAATCCAACATTATGTTCAAATGAAAATTGTCAAAATGTAATAAAAAGTGTTCGCTATGTGATTAAACATAATGGTACATTGGGAATAAATGACATTCAATTATATTTTTTCGAAGCAAATGTAACGGGAAAATTTTATCAAAATTTCCAAGTAATATTCGAATGGTATAATGATGATCGAAATAAAAGTTATCAACGAAGTGGAAATCCTGGTTATACAGCGGGTAATCCAATTTTTATTGCCACATTAATGACAAATAATTCCTCACAAAATGTGGGAACAAAAAATATTTTTTTCGATAAAAATAATAAATATCTAACACTACCAATTGCCAATTCAAAAGGTGAATGTGACGATATAAAAAAATATACCGTGAATTTTGGTGAGAATATTAAATTAAAATGTAAATTTATTCTAAAATCGAAATATTTTTCAAGTTCAACATGCGCCGAATTGCAAAATAAAATATTTCATTTAATGTTAAAAAAAACATTTCTCAATTTAACCGATATTAATAATTCAAATAAATTACAAATATCCCGTTCTGGCAATATTATTGATCGTAATCATTCAAATTGGATTGATGTTTTTTACAATCAATTACCAAAACAAATGGCAAATGGTCGTTTATTTGATGAGAAAATATCTTGTTCTGGTTTAATAACATCAATGAGAATTGATGTTGTACATTCAATTTTATCAAAACCAGAATTTATCGATAATCATGTTATATTAGGTTTTGGTGTGACATTTTCTAATTTAACAACAATAACATGGACAAAATGTAAAACAATTAATTGTATTGATAATTTAAATGTTAATATTATTAATTATGTAACATTTCACGATGCATCGAAACCGTCGAAAATTTATTTTGCCAGTGGACCAAATTTAGATATAAGTTTACCATACGATTTCTTTTATCCATTTCTCAGTAATTCTAAGGGAATAACAATTTATTTAAATAATTTTCCCCTTTATTGTTTATTTATCGCGTTAATTATAAGTTGGTAGAAATTTAAATTAATATTTAAAAAAAAAGAAATGTGAAAAAAAGAAATAAACGCACAAAGTAATATAAAATAAACTAACATTGAGTTATTTAACCTAATAAATAAAAGTTTTATTATTATTATTATTATTATTATTATTATTATTACTTAATTGTTATTTTACTATTTTTCTTTTTAATTTCGATTTTTAGAGAAATTTAATTTTTCCCGCCGTTTTTCTATCGCGCAAGCGCAAACGGTCCGTGTATTGGTAACACTGGTAAAATTTGAAATAATACTCTATAGGTTTCCGTGGAAAATAGTTAAAACATTCACAATATTTATAATATTAAACAGTGTATTGTTATTAAAATCAATTTCACACTCGAAATAATAAAAATTTCATAACTAATAAAATTTTATTTATTATTTTATAGAAAAATATTGATAGTAAAACAGTGCCTTTTTTTAGCGCCTTTATTTGACAGTGTTGCCAATTTTAAATTAAGGCAGTACGCAACGTACATTAAGGGCATTCTGAATCGACTTTATTTTTTTTTTATTAGGTGGGAAGAAAAATCTAATTTTCCTTTCGTCAGCTGTTAAATGTCAAAAATAAGGTGGAAAAATTTTTTGTAATTTTTAGAAAAAAAGTACAATAATAAATAGTTTTTTTTTTTTGTGAATAAATAATGGCGTGGTTATCGGGATTGGCTGGAAAGGCTGAAACATTATTAAATAAAATTGACCAAAATACCGCAGCAGTATTGAATAAAGAGAAAAATGATAATTTAACGGAGGTTATGTGGATGCCACCAAATGAAAAGTGAGGAAATTTTTTTTTTTTCTAATTAGAAAAAATCTAACTATTCTTATCATTGTGAACATTGATAATGGTCGTTTATTTTCTCCATTAAAATCTAAATTCCATTGTTTTTATCTAACAATTATAATGCAGCACAATATTTTATTATGTCTAGCAGAGAGAAAGTTATTTAGTTAATTAATAATTTATTTATTTTATTTATATTTTTCAAATTTTTTTTAATTGCTTCCTTGTATTTTTATAATTTTTTATTTATTTACATTTATCATGTATTTTATTTACAATTTTGAAATCAATGTAAATGTAATAATAAAATAATAATAATAATAATAATAATAATAATAATAGTAATAATTAAGTAATCAATAATTATTTTACATTTCAGTTCGGATGATATTGTTCGCGATGTTGCTCAAAATATTTCATATAATTCAATATCAAATGTTGAGATTGCAGCGCAATCGAGTGTAAATATTGTTAATGATGACGAATTAATGACGTATTTAAATACACCTGTTGTCACTCCAACGAGAAATTTACAAAATACCGAAAATGGTGATTTAATTCTTCATTTGCCATCAGATGAACCAAATTTGCAAATAGAAGTCGATTCTTCTGATACTTCTAGTGTTAGAAGTGTCGAGGCAGTATTTAATATTGATGAATTAACATCGCAAATGACGAATTCAAGCACAAAAAATAATGACAATACACGTGAATTACTGGATGTTTGTGAAAATTTGCCAACTGGTAATTTAATTTTTAAAATTTTATTATATATTAATTATTAAATTATTAAATATTAATAATAATAATTATATTAATTTAAATTAAAATAATTTATAGATCATTCAACAATCGATGATAATGAATGCAATTTTCCTGTAAAAAAGGTAGAATCAAAAATATTTTCAACCAATGATAATTTAATGAGAAAAAAACAAATACAATTTCAAAAAAATGTTGACGATAAAAAAGGTTTAATTGATAAACAACAAACTGATTATCAAAAGGAAATTAATGCTCTAAATGATAAATTACAATCATTTAGAATTGAGAGAATTCAATTTTCAAAAACAATAACTGAATTACAATCAAATTTAGATAGAAATCGTTCTGAATTAAATTTAACAAGATCTGAATTAGAACAACATCGTGCAAGGGCTTTGAAAACATTACAGGAAAAGGAAAAATTAATTACAGAATTAAGAGGAAATGCAAATTCAGGACTCGATGAAGCTTCAACAATGGAGCTGAATCAATTAAGGTTTTTTTTAATAATAATTTTATAATTATTAACATTATTATAACACAGTTTGAAAAATTTAACAAAAAAAAAAAAAAATTATGGTTTTTATTCGAAAGGAAACAATTTGTTTGTTTTTTTTTAAAGACAAGAGCGAGAAGTTCTTCGTGAGGAAAATCAACAAGTTTGTGAACAATTAAGATTGTCAAGAGAGGAATTAATAGCGGCTGATTTAAAATTAGAGAATTTTAGACAAAAAATTATTGAAATTAGTAAACAAGCTCAAGAGACAATTGCCACTGAGAGAAGAAGACGACTCGATGCTGAAGATGATGCCAGACAACATACGGAGGTGATTGTTTTTTTCCAACTTTGGAACTAAATGGAACTAAATTAAAAATTATCTATTTCAAAAAATAATTTATAAAACTAATTTTTTTTTTGAAAAGAAATTTTTTATTAATTATTTTTAATAAACAATAATTATTGTTTATTTAAAAATAAATAATAAAAGAAAGAGAAAATTTATATTTCAGGAAGCGAGAGCTCTGAAAGAACAATTTATTCTTCAAGAAAACAGTACATCGTTAAAATTGAGAAAACAAGAGGCGGAAATTTCAAGAATAAGATCACAATTATCGGCAGCATTGACACCAAGTAGTGAAGTTGAATCGCGATTAGCGACACTAACACAAACTTTAGTATTAAAGCAACAAGCCTTGGAAAGTTTAACAACAGAGAGAAATGCATTAAGATTACAGTTAGAAAAAATAGAGGTAAAAAATTGAAAGGAAAAAATTTTATTTCTTATTAAATAGCAGATGAAAATTCTTATTTTAATTTAGATTTTTATAATTTTTTTATAAAAATTTTAAAAAAAAATTTTTTTTTTTAAATTATAAATATTTCAAATAATAATAAAATTATTTTAAAATTTTCTCCATTTTTCACTATTTTTAGATGGAATACAGAAATTCAAGAAAAACTTTATTGTACAGCAGTAATGATACTGATGATGCAAAAGCTCAGGTTCCTTCTTTTCTAATGGAAACTCCATTTGACACAAGCGTTACACGTCGTGTAAAAAGAGCCTACTCCTCATTAGATGCTATTAGCATACGAACTGGTGTCTTTTTACGACGATATCCTTTGGCGAGAATTTTAATATTAATTTACATGGTTTGTCAAAAAATAAATAACAAATTAATTTTTTTATATTCGATAAATAGAATAATTGTATTAATTAATTAATCTTCAAATTGGTAATTAATATTTAATAATTTAGTAATTCTTGATAATTAAATTTTTTTTTTTTACAAATTCTGGATAATAATTAAATTTATTTTTTAGGGTCTGCTTCAATTATGGGTGATTATTGTTCTCTTTTCTCAATCACCAGAAGCTCACTGATTATTTTTCAACAAAGTGATAAAAAAACCGAATCATTTATTTTGTTAATATATGTAGTTTGTTATTTCTATTTTTATTTAAAATTTATTTTATTATATTATAGTGTCAAAAAAAAAATATCTAGTAAGATTAATGTACAGAGAGTATATTTTTTATACTTGAAAAACTTTTTGTCGTTAAAAGTATAAAAATAAAAAAAAAACATTGTCGTTTTTAATTTAATTTATTATCATTTTTTTTTATATAGAATATATGTATATAATACTTATGTAGATGATGAATCATATAGACAAGAGGATAATTACAGTTTTTTTTTGTCGCAATAAATAAATAACTTATCTATAAATATTATTAACGTAAAATATAATCGAGATCTTTAAATATTCTTTTAAACTAAACTCTGAACTAAAGTAAAAAAAAGAGGGGGGTATTTTTAAATGTACAGTATTTTATATTATTATCGTGAATTTACAGTATTTTTAATTGAGCATTTGCTCCAAGTATCCGTCATTTGAGAATGAATATTTATATTTGAAACAGAGAATAGTATCACTATTGAGATCTATCTATCTAGAACAAACTTTTCATTTAAAAAATAATTTTCCAAAATTTTTAAAAATTTAAAGAAATTTATTTTCTTAAAAAAAAATCGCAAAATCTTTTTTTTGTATTCCATTTCTCATTTTTGGTTTTTTTTTTTCATTATAGTTACAGTGATATGCAATTTGTTTTTTTAAATTTAATAATGCTTTAAGTGCAAATACCTTGCTGACTAATATTATTATCTAAATAGTAATATATGTATAATGATAATTTACGAAGCACTTTGTCTACACTATACAAATTGTGCAAATTCGCATTTTATCAACTGGAATTGTAATTTACATAATTATTATACATATATCAAGAAAATCTATACTGATAATACTTTGAAATAAATGATTTTAGAAATATGAAAAATGAAAAAAAAAAAAATTCTTATAAATATTATTTACATAATAATAAATTCAATAAGCGAGAGTGAAATTTGAAAATTTATATACGACTAAGATATTCAATGTATCTATGAAAAAAAAAAGTAATTTTTATCACATGTTTGATTCAGTGCTGATTAAATATTTAGAATTCTAAATGTTATTATTATTGTTATGAATGATTATCACTCGCTTGCAAAAAACAAATCATCTGATGTAGAATTTCACATCTTTTTCTGGCGTTCCTCTCGCAAATTTTTCGCAAAAAAAAATAGAAAATCAATTTTATTCTAAATTAATTTTTCTATGAATTAATTTTTTTTAAAAAAATAGAATTGATTATTAATTCTTAATAATTTAGTTATATACGACTTTAAGCCGTTTCTACTAATCATACATTTTTTTTTTGTCAATAATATTATTACGTAACGAATTTTTTTTTCAGGAACAAAGCCGCTCAATGGATTACAATCAATTTTTTCACAGCCTGCTTGATTCACTGGGAATTTAAATTCTTTTTTTAAATTTCTATTTTATCCCCCTATCAAAATTTATTGTTCCAATTTTTCAAAAATGTGAAAAATCTTCATCGGAGTTATTTTATATATTATACTATGTAATTATAATATATATTTCTCTCGATTCAATTTCCCATTGAGAATTTATTGTAATTCTTTTTTTTTTTTCTTTTCACAGATGCGAAAATATAATACCGAAAAAAAATTTATATTTACAGCTTTTAATAAGCTAAAAAAAAAAGTTTTCTATGTCCTATAGTGACATGCTTCACTGGAAGAAGAAACTTTATTTATTGATTCACGATCAGTTCTTGAATCATTTGTGAATTTGGAATTTGAATTTAATTTTTTTTCTTCACTTCTAGAATCATTAATTATTAATGATTTTGAATAAATTTTCGTAGTTTTTACATTAATTGAAGATGATGATCTGGTAATATTTTCCGTCGTTGAGGAAACTTGACTATTTTCATTTTGTGAATGAGAAATATTTTCATTCTCTGATTCATTTCCTGAATTGTTCATCATTGAGGAAATGAAATTTTGTGTTTCCTCCCGAAGTGCATTCACTCGCCTTTGTAAAATGTGATTTCTTCTTACCAATGCAATTGTCCTTATGAAAATGTCAACAAGACCTGTGTAAGAAAAAAAAAATTCAATTATTAATTAATAAATTTAATTAGTAATTAATAATTAATGTTTAAAAAAAATTTTGATTTTGTAAAATTTTGATTTTTTTTTTAAAAGAAAATTACCATCTCGTCTCATTGCTATTTTCCATTGATTGTCATTAGCTGAAGAAGTGACTTGTCGTGATGATCTTAAAATAATTGGAACGTAAGAATCCATTGGACATTGTGGTCGTGAAATAATTGAATTTAATGGATGTGTTGTTATTTCTTGAATTTCAAATTTCTTATTCGACAATTTTTTTAATTCCACTTTTTTACTTATATTTTTTTCTTGAATTCTTTGTCTTCGACGTACACATTTGTGGGATTTTCCCGTCTCTGGAAACTCTGTCATACATACTGTTGGAGCCATTTCTCACTTCAATCTGTAACAATAGATTTTTTAAAATTAAAAATTGCCTAATTCATTTATTAATAATTTAAAGACAACATTTTTTTTCTAATTGTTGGCTAAAGTAATTCTGAAAAAAAAATTATTAATAAAATAAAAATATAAAATAAATAAATAAATTAAATATAAATATTATTTGACAAATTTAATTATTTTTTTTATACAGAAACTAAACATTAAAAATAATTAAGGGGATTGGCAGTTTAGAAATTTAGCAGATGAGGTTTGCTATAATGTTTGGAAATTGGGACAAAGATCAATTAAAATTGATGATTAGCAGTGGTCTATAAATTTCTGAAAATAAATTCACTCTCTGATGAAAAAAAAAAAAAAGAAAAAAATACAAACACGTGCTCTATCTTTCTAGGAGGGTAGTTTTACTCTCGATAGTTTCAAATAGGAAACAGTTGGGGATCACCATATAAGATTTTAGGGGGAGGGGGGGGGGCGAATGACAAGGGAACACCCAACAGCCTTGAACATCATATAGGCACACGTGCAGAACCAAATTCTTCGTTCCCAATCATAAATAGTATTTTACGCCCTATTTTTCTTATTCGGTATATACATATATATATATATATATATATATATATATATATATAAATTCATCAGTCATCAGTTCATTGGGAAAAAAAATATATTCTTTAATAATAAGAAAAGAATCTTAATAGCAAAACAATGTGTCATAAGACAAAAATCCATTTTTAATATTTTTCATATAAAGAAATCTTTTAGAAAAATTTCGAGAAAAAAAATAGATTTTGTTTTTTCTAAATTCTTCAATTTTTATATAAAAATTGTCAATTAAAATATTTTAGGCCAGTTTAATAATAATTGAAAAATTAAATAACGTTTGACTGATGACAATAATTTCTTTTTGAAAAGGGTTAATTAAATTTTGAACAATGGGTTCGAAAAAAAAAATGCCACGTGCGTGTTCAATGTGTATAATTACTTTATATAGTTGCCAGTTCGTCCTCTAAATTTTCTCTCTCTCTCTATACCGATTTGTTAACATTCACCTCTCGCAATATGGGGACAGTCATGGTATATCGTAATGTGTCACACGTGTAAATTAATGTCTGAAATATTTAGACAATTTAGAACAGAATTATGCAAATTGAGAATTAATTATCAATTTGTATGTAATTCGAATATCTTTCGGATATATTTAATGTTCAATTTAATCTGGGAGGTAAAAAAAAAAAAATTAGAGTACAAAAGAATTTAAATACATAATATATATTTGATAAATATTTTTTATAGAATTATTTTTTTTTCAACTTTTTAGAAAATTATTTCCATTTTTTAATTTTCTATTTATGGTGAAGAAGAGTGAAACATATTTCACAATAATTAAAAAGAATTCATCCTCCTTGTGATGAAGAAAACTATTCGAGAATATAAATGCGAAAATAGGCCAAGATCTTTGGAAACCAGGAAATTGCTTTTTGTTTGATTTGCGTGCTTCGAAGATTCAATTATGTCAACTAAGCGATATGATATTGGCAAGACAATATATATATATATCAAAATTGTGTTTTCCAAGGGTTGGTCATTATTTATCTTCAATTATATAAAATATAATAAATAAACCCAGAAAATTATTACCAAAAAAAAAGAAAAAAAAATTTAACTTTAAAAAAAATTGTACATGTAAAAAATTTATTTTACTTTAATTGTAAATAAAATTATGTCAATTTTTTGTTTCTAGGAAGAAGTGTGCAACATCTCTAAAAAAAGTGGGCGACAAAAAAATGCGCAATTTGGTAAGTATTTTATAAAAATTTACATTAAATTTAATTGGAAAATTTGTGCCAAAAGAGAAATAGTTTAAAGAAAAAAAAGAAAAGAAAAGAAGATGTGAGGAAAAGTATATATCGAACGTATAAGTACATATATATCTACACTATAAAGTGCATATTTGCCACGTGTAAACTTAAAGCATTGAAGCTTCTCATTCGATATAGTGTCTATATAGTCATAGTTGCATGAATCTATATAGAACTACAATATATCTAGCCGTTATAAAAGTGCTTGGAAACCAAGTGTGCCACGTGCACGACCTGATACCTACAACCCCCCCCCCCCTCCATCGACAGTCTTGCTTTCACCCTCCACTTCTCCTTTGGCGGAGATGACGAACCACCCTTCCACAGTCTTCTACCCCGAAACACTTCTTTTTTCACTAGTTTCTCTTATATTTATAATATTTACATATATATTTTTTTCTTTTCTATTCTATCCTATTCTATTTTATATATTTATTATTTCATTCTATTGTATATATTTTTTATTTAATTCTATTCTATTCTATATATTTTCTATACTATTTAATTCTATTTTATTCTTTTCTATTCTATATATTTTCTATTCTATTCTATCCTATTCTATTCTATTTTATTCTACCCTATTCTATCCTACTGTATTCTATATATTTACTATTCGATTCTATTGTGTTTAGTTGTATATTATTCTATATATTTTTTATTCAATTCTATTCTATACTATTCTATTATTTTCTATTCAATTCTATTCTATACTATTCTATTATTTTCTATTCTATTCTATCCTATTCTATATATTTTCTATACTATTCAATTCTATTCTATTCTATGTATTTTTTATTCTATTCTATATATTTTTATTCTATTCTATTAGTGTTGGTACCAATACTGCGCGAATAGTAAATTTTTTGATATTGATTGTATTTTATTCTATTCTATTATTTTTTATTATTATCTATTATTTTGTTGAATTGTTTATTAATTTTTTATTTAATTGTTTATTAATATTTGATTATATCATTTATTAATAATTATATATTTCGATTATAATATATTAGAAAATTTGTATTTATTATTATTATAATATTGATAAACAAACAATTTCATAGAGTGGCATTGATTATCACAAAGAATCCCGTAAATAGTTTGACTGATTTCAAATGAAAGTATATATATAAGATAAGGTAATCTTTTACAGAAGGTTAAACTCATTTATCTCAATTACCCATATTCGTGTTTTACGTATATAGCACAATATTGTGTTCATTGAACTATTTTATTGTTCATTCAACTATATAACTATATGTAAATTTGTACAGTTTATAAAATTGAAATCATTATTATATTAGTCTTATTTTCCAATACATTAATTAATTTATTAATTAATTTTAAATTTTTTATAATATTTTTTAATTAATTTTTTTTAATTATAATTAAATAATTAATTAATTAAGGATAAAAAGTTTACGTCCTTAAATTCAGTATCATCGAAAGCATCAAAGAAATAATTTTGGAAAATTAAAATATAGAATACATTTGGTCGACATTTATAATTTTTTGTTTTCTACATTGCATGTCGAGAAATTTATATGTGAATTTAAAAAAAAAAAACATTAAAGTTCATTGCGCAGTATATAATCTTGAAAGTTTTTTTTTTTTTAAAGTCAAGTTTTTTGCAGACATTATATACATATATACGATATGTCATAAAAGTTACGTCAGGCACGTGTTTCATTAACAATGGATGATTATTCAATGACGTAATGAATCGACTGCAACAAAGCGCATCGAGGAAGTTAATTTCATGTATATAAAACTGACACGTGCGTTAAGCCTATAGATTATAATAGAGAGAAAGTCATTCAACTCTTCAAGTAATAGAATCTAATATATATTTTCTTTAGTCATTTAAAAAAAAAATTTGTTAATTAATTTTTGTTTATGGAAAATTAATTAACATTTGAATATTAAATTATAATAACTGTAAATTATAATTTACAATAAATTTACTATTTTTTTAATAATTAAGAATAATAGTAAATTAATTAATAATTAATAATTAACAATAGTAAACAAAAAATCACTGAAAATTTCATTATTTTTTTTCATTAAATAAATTCAGAGTTTTATTTTTTTCTCGTAAAAATTATATTCTTTTGAACTTGACGTTACTAGCCTCATTTCATGTCAGTGTCTCTTCTATTTATTCTTTCTCTTTCTCACTCTTTGATGATTTCATTTAAAAAAAAGAAAGAAATGAAAACTTAATGACTATACAATAATTTATCCTTGAGTATATATAATTCCTCGAATATTACAAAATTTTGTATAGATACCCTATTTTTTAAACAAAGACAATCTTTCCATTTTCTTGAGTATACACCCAAGTAAATTATATATTTTTCTCACAGCCTAATAAATTTTCATTTGAATTCAAATAAATTTTTATTAATTTAAATAAATTTTTAATTAATTCAAATAAATTTTTATTTGATTTAATTACATTTTCATTTGATTTAAATAAATAATTTTATTTACACCAAATAAATAGGCTAGTAGGCTGTAAGACAAATATACGTTTATTTAACTCAAATATATTATATATTTGGTTCAAATAAAACATTTCACTTTTCAATTTTTTTTTCCGAAACTCTATTTCCCAACGCAGAAAAAAGATTTCGCATTTATTTCAAAAAGAAAATTAATTCCAAAAATAATACATGATTTTAAGAAAAGAATACAATAAAAAAATTCATTTTTCTTTTTGGGGAGATTTATATTGAAAAAAAAAAATCAGACGAAACAATGTCCATGGAAAATCGTATATTGAAGCCGGGGGAGAAAAAAAAAGGGGGGGGATTACGATTTACAAGAAAAGGAGGGGACGATCGAAAAAAAAGAGAGGGATTTATAAGGTGGCAGACAGTGTGTTCGCGACGAGGGGTGAAAAAGTGGAATCGCAGACTTTTTGGGAAGGGAGCTATATAAACCCCCATAGACATTTATATATATGTATAGATATAACCATAGTACATTTCATGGTATGACATCGACTGGGTCGTCGACCTTGGGGTCCACGTGTATTCCAAAACTAAGAGCACACCTACATTTTCTCTCTTGCGCGCGTCGACAAGCTGCAGGGAAAAAACGGTTAAGAGCAAAGGCACGTGCACTGAAAAACCTT